AGTTTTATTATCATAATGAAGTTAACATCACCCTATAGGAGAAAAGGAAAAACCTGGTAAAAATGGTTTTTAAAGTTAAGTAGGTGACCAACATAGGAGGGAAGGCAGCATGCTATAGGGTCAGTATTTGGATGGGGGAGCACCAAGGAAGGCTCTGTAAGGGAAGGCAATAGGAAACCACCTCTGCTTCTCACTTGCCTTTAAAGCCCCTTGCTGAGGTCGCCATAAGAACATAACGCTCTCTACATGGGGCTGCCTTTGTCGCAAATCTGGAAGCTGCAGCTAGTGCAGAATGCTGCGGCCAGGCTGTTGATGGGTCTTCCTAGTAGGGACCACATCCAGCCTGTGCTGAAAGGGCTGCACTGGCTGCCAATAGCGTACCGGATTCGCTTCAAAGTGCTGGTTCTTACCTTTAAAGCCCTACATGGTCTGGGTCCAGCTTACCTAAGGGACCGCCTTTCCTCATATGTTCCCCCGCGAGCACTTCGGTCTGGGACGCAACATCTCCTGGCAATGCCAGGTCATAAAGAGGCCAGGCTGGCCGCTACTAGGGCCAGGGCTTTCTCGGTGGCGGCTCCTACCTGGTGGAATGAGCTCCCGATGGAGATCCGGGCCCTGCGGGACCTTGTACAGTTCCGCAGGGCCTGCAAGACGGAGCTCTTCCACCAGGCGTATGAGTAGGAGTTGCCACTACCATCATTATTGTACCATCTTACCTGGCCCTGGACGAGGGAACACCAGTGTTTCCCGGAAGCAGATGATGCTAAGGAACAGAGTAGTAGCAATAGAACTGTTACGCCATCTTGTGAAATAACATCCAGAGCACTTATTAATTAACTGTTTATAATGTTATCTGTACTGTGATGATTTTAAATTATTTTACTTATGTTTTATATTGGCGTATGCCCTTGTAAGCCGCCCTGAGCCCGCGTAGTGGGGAGGGCGGGGTATAAATTGAATAAAATAATAATAATAATAAGAGAAGCCAATGTTGGATCAGGCCAATGGCCCATCCAGTCCAAGACTCTGTGTCACATAGTGGCCAAAAATACCAGGTGCCATCAGGAGGTCCAGCAGTGGGGCCAGGACACTAGAAGCCCTCCACTGTTGCCCCCCCCAGAACCAAGAATACAGAGCATCACTTGGCCCAGAGTCCCTATCTATACCTTGTGGCTAATAGTCACCAATGGACCTCTGCTCCATATGCTTATCTAATTCCCTCTTGAAGCCATCCATGCTTGTAGCCGCCGCCACCTCCTGTGGCAGTGAATTCCATGTGTTAATCACTCTTTGGGTGAAGAAGTACTTCCTCTTATCTGTTCTAACCCGACCGCTCAGCAATTTCATTGAGTGGTCTCAAGTTCTTATATTGTGAGAAAGGGAGAAAAGTACTTCTTTCTCTCGCTGTTCTATCCCATGCATAATCTTATAAACCTCGATCATGTCACCCCTCAGCCATCGTTTCTCCAATCTAAAGAGCCCCCAAGTACTTTAACCTTTCTTCATAGGGAAAGTGTTCCAACCCTTTTCTCATTCTAGTTGCCCTTTCTGCACTTTTCCCAAAGCTATAATAGGAGAGGAGGAGGAGGAGATTGGATTTATACCCCGTCCTTCACTTGGAGTCTTAGAGCGGCTTACAAACTCCTTTCCCTTCCCCTCCCCACAACAGACACCCTGTGAGGTGGGTGGGGCTGAGAGAACTCTGACACAAACTGCTCTTTTTCAAGGACAGCTGTGCCAGGGCTTGTGACTGACCCAAGGTCACATCAGCAGGTGCAAGTGGAGGAGTGGGGAATCAAACGCGGTTCTCCCAGATTAGAGTCCGCACACTTAACCACTACACCAAACTGGCTCTCGATCCTTTTTAATATCCTTTTTAAGGTGTGGTGACCAGAACTGTACACAGTATTCCAAATGAGGTTGCACCATTGATTTATATAGGGGCATTATGATATTGGCTGATTTGTTTTCAATTCCGTTCCTAATAATCCCGAGCATAGTGTTGGCCTTTTTTACTGCAGTCGCACACTGTCTCAACAATTTCAGTGAGTTATCTACTACGACTCCAAGATCTCTCTCTTGGTCAGTCTCTGCCATAAGTCAGTTACAACTTGACAGCACATAATATGTTTATAAGTGACCAATATAGATTCAGTTTTTATATGGGGTTAGGTATTAAGGGCTGCGGTCACACGGAACATTAGCCACCCTAGTCAGACGGAAGACATGCGGAGTTTCCGGACGCGATCTCACCGGAACGTCTGGGAAGCGTAGCACTCCCGTGGCTCAAACGAGGCTTCCCGCTGAAACCGCGCAGCAAAAAACTAGTACCTCGGAGGTACTAGTATCCGGAAACCGCGGGGCAAGGGCGGGCGTCTGATCGCGGTTCCGGTGGCATCCGGCGCCCGCCCATGTTCCCGTCCTTGCAAAAAAGTTTTTTCCCCCAGGTCTTCGTGGATGCGCAAAAGCACCCTACGGAGCATGCGCAGTCGTGCTGTACAGAAAAAAAACCTATCCAGTTTGCCGAACCGCGCGCTTCGTTTTTGCGCGCGGGATTGTCCTGCGATCGGCACCTCTCCCTTCCCACGGGACCTCCACGGGACCTCCACGGGAGGTCTGGTCAGGTAACGGCGCCTTAGTTTGCCCCGGGGCACACTGCCACATTTCCCCCCCGTGGTTTCCTGCTCGTGTGACCGGGGCCATAGTAGTACAGTGGTAAGACACACTAAAAACCAGCTGCTGAAATTCAGAGATCCTTTGTCCCCAGCATAGAGGGCTGCACTGAGGAACAGGGATCAGGAAAACTTGACACTCCTTACTCTTTGTTAGTGAAGCAAGCCTTGGAGACTCCTTCAGAGTAATGCATTTTGCTTAAGAGTATCGACACACAGGTTGTGGTCACATGTGCCAGAAAAAAGGGGGGGCAAGGCTATTTCCTCTGGAGGCATTTGACCCGCAGTTGCATATTCACACCTCCCTTCGAAGCTGTGGGCGCAGTCTGTCAGTGTGTGATCAAACACAACTGCAAGTGAGTCGGGGGTTTTTTGTGCTGTTTTCCCCCCATGCGTTTAAATGAGGGATCAATGAATTGCACCTCCGCACCAAGGGCTCCGTATGGAGTTTGCGATGATGTGCATACTGCGGGGGGGGGGGGAACAACAGCATGGAGTCAGACCATCCCGACGTCATGAGAGCGCACTGGAGTGATCAGACTCGGGAAAGTCCATCCGTGGTCCGTCGCAACCTGCTTCCTACCAGTTTTTAACTCCACTTCTGCAATGGAGCAGAACGGGTTGCCAATGGCTGCAGGGCACTTCCCAGATATTGTTGTCTGATCGCACCCTTTAAATCCAATTGGCATTCACACCTATGTTGGGTCTAATTGTGCATATGATCGCAGCCACAGTAGAGAGTCTTCAGAGGGCTTGAGGAGCTGCTGGAGGAAGGGAAAGGCAGATAAGATCCCAAAAGCATGAGCTTCTTCCACCCAGCAACCATAGGACAGAGCCTCTCATTTGCTTCTAACATTTATGTGTGTGTTTTACATTAGCAAAGGTCATTGGTAACATTTCCATATTTGATCATTTACATTACAAGGCCTCTTCAGAACTGACAACTGCTGAGAAGAGATTGCTAAAAATTGGCAAATTCTTTGTGTTCCTGTCTAGCCAGTAGTAGTAACCAATGCTCCCTCTGTGGAGTTTTGTGAGCAAAAATTCTACATTGTGAGCTATTGGCATTAAAGCTGTGAGCAAGCAATTTGCTACTGCATAAATTAGTTTTCTCTGGAGCCATCCTTCCTGAGCTAAGACAAAAATGTGTGAGCCAGAGGCTAAAAAACTGTGAGTTAGCTCACACTAACTCAGCTTAGAGGGAACATAACTGTAATTTAGAGATAAGTTTCCCTGACCATTTTCAAATTTTTGTTCTGCTCATAGAAAAAAATCAATTGTGTAAAATGTATATTGTGACCATTTTATTTACCTCAGTTACACTTAAATTTCCAGCTGGAATCTTTAGGACTAATTCTATTTTATTTTGATGTGCATATCCTTAAACAACATGACACACACTTCAGGTTTATTTCTACAGGAAGGAGGATCTCAGACACCTTAACAGCTCACCAAATATATAGTGAACAAGTCATCAGGGTCTTATTATATTTAGTCATTAATGAAAACTATTAGTTACTTCCACATGCTTTGTTCATATGATCTGGCTCTGAATGGAGTGGATCATGCCCCTATCTTACTGCTCCACTGCTTCTTTATTAAAATACTTATAACCCACCCTTCCTTTTGGCTCAAGTTTGGAACCTTCCCCCAGTCTAAGGAGTTTTCCTTCAGATTAAGTGTTTCTTGCACGGAGGAAGAGCTGCTTCAGTTGGAGGAAGGCCCCTTCGGCAAGAGGAAGGCTACTTAAAGAATTGTTGAATCTACCCCAGTATGATTAGTTTGCTTCAGCCAAGGTAATGGAGGTGATGGCTCTCTTAAAGCAATCTTGCTTGCTACTATAGGTCAGTGTAGCAGTGCTACTCAGTAGCTAGTTACAGACACTGTTAACCACTGCCTGTAGCTGTTAGCTGCCAGTAAAACTGTTCCATAGGCAAAATTATGTGGATATTTTTAGCAGCACTCAAAACCTAAAAGATATCACATAACATAATCTGCTTTGGAAATCTATATTTTTGGTTCTTTTGTTAGGCTTTTATTTTGCTTCTGGATGTTTGGATGCAATAAATCTACTCAAGGCTTTCAGCAGAACCCTATCAATGGCTGATGTTAAAACAATTAAATTCAAAATGATTTTTCAAAAATCCCTTTGTGGCTTTGTTATTCATCTCAAATAAAATAATAGATTACATTTTTATGGTTACATTATAACCATTTTTATGGTTACATTATAACCATTTAAATATGACTGAAATGCTAATAATGATTTCATTTTAAACACAGAATTGCAAATTAATGAACTGATTTATTTTCTTTTGAATTTGACAGGTGCTGTGGACGTAGACGAGAGAAATCGCCAAATGAAAATGAGCAAGTACAAACAGGTAGCAGGATCAGATTCGAGGCTGGAGCAAGATTATCATTCCAAGGCAAGGGCATTTTTTTAAAAAAGCTGCAAAATGTATAATCCTTGATCAGGCATATAGTCATTTAATGGGTAACATGCAATTAACAATCTAATCCTATAGATAAGTCCCACTAACACACTGAATGCAGACTTGCACAAAACGGCTTCTGCTCGCTCAAGAGAATTTTTAGTCTCCCCTGTCTGGCAGTGTTCAGCCTGATACCATGAAAGATTATGGATCTTTATATAGAGCAACACCTGATGAAGCATGAAGGGCTGTTACTGAACACAAATCACTGGTTCTCTGTACACATGAAGAATGCATTTCTCCCATCCAAGGGAAGGGCTGCATCTAAAAAAATTGTACTTACTGCTAAGTAATTGTATAGATTGCAGCTGTGACATTCTGAAGCCCTTTCCAAAATTATGCTTGAAATTACTATGTCAAGCTCTCATGAGACAGAACTGGAAAGTATTTACCTACTTCAAAAAGTGATACATGATCACTTTATGGTTATATGGTGGAATGTGCAGTTATAAAAAAGCACTTAGTAAATAGAAAAGAGGGAAATTATTTAGATGATCAAAATTAATTCAGAAAGAATTTACTATATTTTATACTTTTATTGTATGTCTAATAATATAATAAAACCTTCAATTAGTTGTGATTGTTACTGAATAAAGTTTTAGTTGTGATAGGGATGAGCAATTGGTGACTTGGATCCCACAGAGAATTTCCACGTATAGAAGGAGGGGCTACTTTTGTTGATTCCCCATTCCCCCTGCAGACCTCCAACTGCTCCCTGCTGTTCCTGGGGGTTTCTTTTTTCCAGAAGCAGCAGGGGGGGGGGGGAGGGTTTTTGGGGCTGCAGCAGAAAGGAGGCAAGGAAGTCATGCTTTACAGACAGAAATCTGCTGAAATTTCTGTGGATCCAAGCTTTTTTAATGTTTGGTTTGCAGAGGGAAAATCATGTTTTTAAATATTGCCATAATCACAGACTTGCTGTATAGATCAGTCTGATAAACTATTTTTGTCAAATGTTGGTCATCTTTATCAATGGTGCAATATTTGCAAGTTGAATAAATTAAGGCTGGTTTCTATAAAATGTAGTTTGGATCTGAAAAAACAAGTATTTCCTCACCTTTCCCTTCCACTAGTGGTCCCCTAAGACCCGACAATAGTTGGTGGGAGCCTCATGGACAACATGCCTTGACCCACAGTGTCTTAGGAGGTGCTGGAAGACAGCAAAGGTGGGGAAGGACCCGCCACTATAAGCACTTCCTGCTCACATTTCTTAAGATCTACCCCATAATAATCCGGCAGTAACATTCAGTTATTGGACCATAAACATCTGATTTAACACCTCCAGCTTACTTATTATGCCACATTTCATTTCAGGTGATATGTAAGTCAGTATACTTGCTGAAAGAGGATATTTACTGCTTTAACAGCACAATCCTATGCAGGTTTACTTAGCAGTACACCCTACTGTTTTAATTGGACCTTACTCCCTTATAAGTTTGCATAGGATTGCACTGTAAGGTGCTTACTCCTATAGAATGATGTAGTTTAATGTTCTGTTACTTGGTAATCTTTGTAATTAAACAGATTATGAGCTATAACCCCTTAAATGCTGCTAAGAAATGAAGGTTCATTTCCATCTTTGAGTGGACTGGTAAAATGATTAGAAAAGGTGCCTTGAAATTAGATTCACTCACTCTACAAATATAAAGCTGTTTTTAATAAGGATGGTTACTTGGATGGCAGTTTCATGGTGGGGTTTTTTTTCTGGGTAGCACTGAAACCATTAAAATGTTCATCCAAAGTAACATCATAGAGTTTGAGGTGCTGCTGCCCATGAGGAACCATTCTTGAAATATTTGGGAAAATGTGGGGGGATGGGGGACTGATGGCCAAAGTATGGAACTGAAAAGCCCTCTTTCATGAAAGTCAGTTGCTGGAGAACCACGGCATTTGGTCAGTGGACTTCTGCATGAAGTTCTGTCTGGGTCTCTCTTGTTGTCATATATATTTTAACGATTTCTTAGATGAATAATAGGAGCCTTGCAGAGATAGCCAGAATCTGGGGATAAGGAAGCATAAGAAGGATTTCACATGTTGACTCTGCTCCCCATCCCAAAGCATTGGTCAAGTTTTCTGCTTAGAGCCTACCCAGGTATAAGCTAGGCAGATGCACAGGTTAGACAGATGCACAGGAGATCCAGGGTGGTATAGTGGATAGAGAGGCAGGTTTAGAACCCTTGGCGAGCTGGGTTCGAATCCCTACTTCTGCCATGGAAGCTGATTGGATGACCTTGGGCTCATCACAAGCTCTCTGCCTGGCCTGCCTCACAGGGCTGTTGTGGCAGAATGGAGGAGGGGAGCACAATCTTCTAAAAAGCCACTTTGAGTCCAAACCAAGGAGCAATGTGGGATATAAATAAATAAATAAATGCAATGCAGGCTTCTGTGCAGAAGTACCAGTTAATGCACACAGGCTGGGAGATGGACAAGCAGGTGCAGTCACATTTCTCTCTTTCTCCATCAACTATCTTTACATTTAGTCATCTACACAGGGCTGGTATAATTAAGAAAAAGGAAAGAAATAAATATTTTGCCTCCTGGAATTCATTTCAAAACTCTATTCAACCATAAATCCCTGATTTCTTTCTATCACAATGCCTTTAATTCTAATATTGTGGGAAGCTCTGTGTTTCCACTGGAAGCTTATATAAAAAGGCATTTATATTCTAAACTGTCTAGACCTGACGGTTGTCCAAATATATTTCTTACTAAGGAAAGAAGCATGTTTACTGTGGACACCTAAGAATAGCTTTCCTTTTATGTAGGCAAGGGTGAAGCGTCAGGAGAGCTGAGTGGGTTCTGCATTTCTGTTTTGTTTTATTCATGTGCTGAAAAAATACAGACCCAATTTTTAACACACTTAATTTGATAGAAACAAATAGAAATACAAAATAGGCTAAGCAGTAGTTTGCCTAGTGCTCATTATACAGTAGTGCTGATTAATCACATGAATATTGGATTATTGATTTAATGATATATTACATTTGCATATGCATACAATATAAGTGGCAAGGCTATAATTCTTGTGTGCAGCTTTCCTTGGGAGTCAGCCCTATGAATTTAGCAAGTTTATATGCCCACCACTTTCACCAGAGGCTCATTATAACCAAACCAAGGTCCAAACATCTCATACCTGCAACTGCTAATAAGCAAGAGTAACCTGCTGCAGCTGCAAATGTCCCACATTTGTTGCTTCCCCCTGCCTGCCAGACACTCTATGGGGCATTCCCTAGCCTTTCTCAGTTAAGAAGAGCCTTACTTGATCAGAAGAGCAAACCATATAATCCAGTATCCTGTTCCACCAAAAAGAAGAAAGTCTCTTGTTCAAGCTTCCTGGACTGTCTTTCCAAATGGAATTGGAACAGTGATAAGGTAGATAGGCAGCAGTAGTATCACCATGACTTAGAACTGGCAGAGAGTGGGAAGCAGAGTTCAGCATCCTTATTTTAGCAGATGAGGAAGGCACACTTTGCTACAGATATTCCTAGACTGGTACCAAGAAGAGAAAGTTGTTTACATCTGTCCTGATTTCCACAGTTGTTTCTTCCTGAATATGACAAAGGAGGATGCTGGCACAGGTTTCTCCAACTGCTTGGCCAAATCTAAGCCTTCACACTAAACATCAGGGTTTAACAAAAATGGCACCCAGTTAATTGGAGACACTTTTCACCTTAGTTTACACTTCATTAATCCATTCACCAACTAAACATGGTGGGCCTATCCTTAATTTAATTACATGGTAAATTAGTCCCTCTGATGCCAGTAGCATTTGTTTCATGTGAATACACTAAGGAGAGTCATGTCTCAAGTTCCTGCCTGCCATTCTAGAGGCTATTTATTCTAATATTTATATTCTGTTTTGTTAGCCCAACAGGAGCTAATTTCACACACATTGTATAATGCACTTTTGCAAGTAATTTTTCCTGTTTTGCACAGGAAAATCAAGCTGCAAAGGATTGCTAAACCAGGGTCTAAAATCAGCTCACAAAAACAAAACAAAACATGATACAATAAAATGAAGTAGGAATTCATCATGATGATTACATTAAGATGGAACACTTTGGTGTAGTGGTTAAGTACGCGGTGTGGTGTAGTGGTTAAGTGTGTTAAGCCAGTTTGGTGTAGTGGTTAAGTGCACGGACTCTAATCTGGGAGAACAGAGTTTGAGTCCCCACTACTCTACTTGCACCTGCTGGATGACCTTGGGCAAGCCATAGTTCTGTCAGAGCTGTTCTTGAAAAAGAGCAGTTTCTGTCAGAGCTCTCTCAGCCCCACCTACCTCACAAGCAGTGTTCCCTCTAAGCTAAGTTAGTGTGAGCTAGCTCACAGTTCTTTAGCCTCCGGCTCACACATTTTTGTCTTAGCTCAGGAAGGAAGGCTCCAGAGCAAACTAATTTAGGCAGCAGCCAAATTGCTCACTCACAACTTTAATGCCAGCAGCTCACAAAATAGAATTTTTGCTCACAAGACTCCACAGCTTAGAGGGAACATTGCTCACAAGGTGTCTGTTGTGGGGAGGGGAAGGGAAAGGAGTTTGTAAGCCGCTCTGAGAGTCCTTTGGGTAGTGAAGGGTGGAGTATAAATCCAATCTCCTCCTCTTCCTCCTCTTCATCTTCTTCGAATTAAGACAGAGGCCAGTAGTCACTGATACATTTGATAATGCAAAATCTGCATACCAGTACTATTGCAATATTCACTTCAGTGGAGGGTACCATTCCACGTATTTATTTCTGTTGACAGAAACCTTATTTCTCCACTGAAGTGAACTTAGAAGCCATTCACAAAGGTGAGCATGCATGCTTATATAGGATCAATGAGCTGGGGCATAAGTGAACATTTGAATTATATATCATAGATCTATGGAATACAACTTCCTAATGCTAGACTTTAATACTTGGTTTGTGTTTCAGACCAAGAGAGATTATATTTCCTTACAT